GTGGGGGGAAGAAGAGGAGGAGGAGAGAAGAGAAAGGAGAAGAAGACGAGGGGGAGGCGGAGGAGGAGAGAAGAAGAAGAAGAAGAAGAAGAAGAAGAAGAAGAAGAAGAAGAAGAAGAAGAAGAAGAATTGAAGTATTGAATTGAATTGAAGTAGCGAGGCCAACGCTATGCGTCCATGTCCCGATGATATGCCATGCAACTTCCACACGGACTAAAACCGCTCAACGCGCACATTCCCCGACGCGTTTCGCCTGGCTGCACACCAGGCTTCTCAAGGGGCACACCGCTCTCCCGCATCCACTTGACTTTCCACCTGAGCAAGAGGGTCGTTCTGGCCTTGCCCTCTGTTGATATCCCTCCCGCGTACGTGGTGGCAGATCTCACCTCAACTGACTGGGATACACCCGTGGCTTGTCGTGGCAGACCAGGTAAGCCCTTGTACACGTCCGTTATTGCTCCCTCACGCGTGCACCTCCCGTGCTATATTTTATAACTCCGCGTGTACCGGTCGCATATTCGGCTCTAGTACTCCCTGGTCGGGCGCGTGGCAGACTCAGTTGTCTATACAGCTATACTTCTCTCCTGCCTGCCAGGTCGTTACTGTCTGTGCCAGGGCCTTGCGATCCCAGTCTTGGTACCGGGCGCTAATCACCCGGTTTCCCGACTTCTACACACCTCTTCCAGCTATCCCTCGCTGCTCCTCGAGACCCCTATTTCACGTCCCCATACACTGCTCCCTAATATTTCCTTCCTTATTATTGTACACCCGGTTGGTAACGTACGACGCGGGCCATCCTATTCTTTCCACTACCCCACGGTCTGGCATCTACCCTAGCGTCAATCTCTGTGTCTGCTCCCTCACCTTGTCCTGACCTGACCCCTCCTCCTTACGGTTACATCACCCACCGTGTCTCACTTCTTTGTCCCTGGCGTCGAACGTATTTCCCGGCCTTGTTCTGACTATTGCACACCCCGGTCTACCGGGTTTCTAACCCATCTACCCCTGTATGTTCCTCACCATTACCCCACTATCCTCTTTCCTCAGCTTCCTGCTCATTGGCANACACCCCGGTCTACCGGGTTTCTAACCCATCTACCCCTGTATGTTCCTCACCATTACCCCACTATCCTCTTTCCTCAGCTTCCTGCTCATTGGCAGGTACCTTAGWTTCATGGTACAGGCATGTAACCAGTTGCCCGGTCAGCGTTTCCAACGCTGTACCRAACGAACCGGTGGCCTTGGCAAATCTAGCCAGAGCATTGAAGAAGAGCGCCGGGGGGTAGTCCCGGCGCCTGAGCTCAATGCTGATAGACAATGTTGCGGGTACGGCTGCTGCTGGGTCGCTTGCGTGGTCTCTGATTCTGTAGAGTGCTGCCATCACCGTCCCCATCTTCAATCTCTTGTCTGAGTATGAGCTGAAATCTTGAAAACACCTAAAAGGAAGGGGTTCGCCAAGGTTCTGATCTTCGTTCTTATGCCTGGGCCGGATCAGGAAGTTGATAGGGCCAGGTACCGCCGTAATCTTGGTACCCAGAAAATCCCATGAATTCGAATCATCATCAGTTCGTATCAACTTCAGCTGCTCCCCATTCGCTGCCGCAAACATCCGGCGGACATCCACGGCTGCTGCTACACTCTCCAGATCATCCATGCCACACGCGACCGCCAATGTGACATCGTCCACAAGTCTGACCCCGTGTACGAGCCGCTGGTCTGCACCTAGAGATGCGAGAAAGTCGACTTCGTACTTAGCACACAATATACAGGCTAGCGCTGGGCTGGAGTTCTTCCCCATCGGGATTCCCACACGCTGCTTAAGGATAGCCGACCTGCATGTGATATATGCATTGTCCAACTCAAAACTGACCATCTGTCTAATCTGGGAAAACTTCACGCATACATACCCTTGTCCTAGACTTCTGTGGTTAAGGACCACCACTCGGCCTCTCCTGCTGAGACTCAGTTTATAGACCCCTTTCTTCTCCCACTGCTGTAGCAGCCAATCCACGGCCAGGGAGATTTCCTTGTGAGGCAAGGATGTAAACATCTCCTTAATGTCATAACTTGCCATCAGGGCCATGGATCTTTCGCCAAACAGCTTCAGCTTCTTGCCTGCTTTCTCCAGGTTCGGCTTCAGCAGAGCCGTAGCTTTCAAGTTGAAGTGCCTAGCATCTGGCACTTTCTCCAGCAAATGGTTCAGTGCCCTGGCTATCCTTCTTCCTGCAGCCCTCGTGCCATCTGCACATGCTGGTGCAATAGGTCTCCACCTTGTCAGGTCCTTGTGCTTAGGCAGGGTGTATGCCTGCCCAAGCTTGGCTGCTGTCTCTTATACACATCTAGATGTGTATAAGAGACAGGTGTATGCCTGCCCAAGCTTGGCTGCGGGGTTCCAAGCCACTTTCTCCAGCAAATGGTTCAGTGCCCTGGCTATCCTTCTTCCTGCAGCCCTCGTGCCATCTGCACATGCTGGTGCAATAGGTCTCCACCTTGTCAGGTCCTTGTGCTTAGGCAGGGTGTATGCCTGCCCAAGCTTGGCTGCGGGGTTCCAAGCCCCAATCTTGTCTAAATTTTGCTTCCTGAACTCCTTACGTACCACGGCCAGTACGTCCGCCTCTGTTTTCTCCGCGACTTGTTCGTAGGCTACATTGAGGTTAAACATCAACTGCAGTCCGTGATGATAGGTGGATGGGCACATGACTACCAGGTCATCGGGGTTCCGATCTACCGGGGCTACCACCAAGTGGCGGAACTCCTCTGCTAGCCTGTAAGCCTGTACGTCAGTACATCCCGGTCGCGTCATTGCTCCCTTAGAGATACACTCCTCAAACCAGCTCCCTCCTGTAGAGATATGGTCTTCCTTCATCACAAGCTTAAGGGGCTGCTCAACGGCTTGCTGCACCTCCGAGAGTTTCGGGTCATAGGTGCTCTGCAAGATGTTCTTCCCATTATGAAGAAAGGGGTTGGCCCCTTTGCATTGCGATATCCTAGCTAGCACATGTCCTTCGCTCCTCGGTAACTGATCCTGGTGACATGTGCATGCCATGCTGGGTGCTCTAGCCGCTGCTCGATGGTTTGTGAGGACCTGCTCAACCATTCTATTCTTTTTCCATACCACCCTCACTCTGTGTCTCATCATTGTTTTCAGAACTGGATGGATCTTACATCTGTCCATGTACTTCACTGCTGCCTCGTGAATCTTCTTCTTCCTCAGACGGTGGTTGTACTTCACTTCTATATTTACCTTCAGTCTGATGTTCACACCCGTCTTCTTCCTGATCACTACTGCTAACATTTCTTTCAGTGTCTTCCTCGTGGTTCTAGTGCTAAATTCCCTGGCACATCTGTACAAATAGGCCAGTTTGGAAATGCCAAAGCTCTTGAGTTCCACCTGTTTCCTAGGCATCTCTAGGAGTGTTGTGAGGTAGCCTTTCCCTCTATCTCTCGCGTTCTCAGCCTTGACAATAGGTGCTACTCTGGAAAGGCCCCCTTCCTCCAGCCTTTGTTTGGACCTAACAAGAGGACTTTTCCCTTGCTCACAAATCAGCGTCGACGTGCCAAACAGTCTCTTTACTATAGACCACTTCTCTCCCGAGACCTCGCCTCCACATGAGACAAAGGTGACAACTTTCTTCCCCGCAGCCCATGCTTCTTCTAACAGGCCAGTCAAGTTGAAGAACTTCTCAGTATCTGTTACCACGAATGACAAAAGACCAGTTCTGTACATGGGAGTTCCCGTCGTGGACTTCTTCCTTTCTTTCTTTCCCGGTCTCTTTCTAGTCTTTGTCCCTACGCCCTTGCCAATCACATTCAGCGCGGGAGATAGCCTGCTGATGTACGCTTTCTCCAAGGTTAGCAGCCCTTCTTTCGTACCTGACGCTATAGGAAGGGCAAGGTACTTCTGCCATCCAAAGGCTTTCAAAAAGGAATACAGCTTAGGTGCTAGTCCATTGTTACCGGACTGCGTGCACCGGATATGCTCCCACCACCTCTCACCTGTACCTCGGACAGACTGTCCCACATACATCTTCCGACACCAAGGGGAGACCAGACAATAGACTGCTGGGCCTTTGAGGTCGAAAAAATCTTGTTCGTGGGGGGCTATTCTAAGTATTTTCTCCGCCCACGGAACCAGTCCACTGATAATCAAAAGGAGGAAAATTGCTATCAGTGCCTGCTCGATATTGATCCTGAAGTATGTGAGCCCATACGTCCCCCAGACAATTTCCCTGAGCCCCATATAGTGGAGGAGCTTGCCCCATAGATCTTATGCTGGGGGAACGCACCGTCAATTTATATGCGGTGCTGTGTCAACCCCTGACATCTTGTCATCTTTCTTGCTCCCCTCGCTGTCTACCCCGGTCAGCCACCCGTTATGCAACTCTCGTCTCGGCTGCTGCCAACTCTTTCACGGCCTGCGGTTTAGTGAAGTATCTAATATTCTTCTGTTTGCACAACCGTTTGAGTTCGGGCACTTTCTTCTCGTTCAGGCTCTCACGCAGTTCAAGGACAAAGTCAATAACCCCTCCCTTCGAACAGGATGCTACTGCCCGTTTCTTTCCTGCGTCCTCCGCAGCAGGTTCTTTACCCTTCCTAGACACTTGCGACCGCTTCTTAGTAACTGGGGTTGGGGGCCGTTCGCTCCTGTCAACTGGTTCTTGTTCGGGGCCGTCCAGGTTGAGCTTCCTCTTCGGATTAGAGTACATCTCAGCCCAAGTCCTCCTAGGAGCCTCCACTTCAGCGCGCTGCAGGAACCGACTGATGCTATCACGTAGCTTCGCGTTCTTTTCTTATGAGGCAGTCAGTGTATTTTGCACATGGCCTTTAATCTTCTCTTCCAGGTCAGCCAGTTGCTTGCTAAACGCTTGTGCTGCAGTCGCTTCTATAATAGCCCGCGCTCTCTTCTTCTCTTCCTCCTCCCTTTGTTTCGCTTCCTCTATCTTCAGCTTCTCCTGCTCGAGCTTACTTTTTTCTAGCTCATCTCTCTTCTTTTCTGCTGCTTCCTGCTGTTGGGTCTCAACAAACGAGAGCAGCCTGTCCATCCTGTCATCTCCCTCATACCGTTTCGGTTGGTAGTAACCACCCTGACCGTAACTCCCGGAGTTAGAGTTACTCCTACCTTGCTGGTAACTCTGCCACTGCCTCCCGTTCTGCCTATTCGGACAGTCCCGCGAATAGTGTCCGTGCTCGCCGCATGTGTAACATGGTCCGCCTGCATACGTAGTGTGCGAGGTAGGTGGCGGGGGTAGGGGAAGGGGAAGGGGAGGTTGGTTGGAGTTGGGCCCATGGTTGGAGTTATGGGAGGGGGGTAGATTCTGTCCCAACCCAGTCGCAGTATAGTTAGTAGGGAAAGAGGCCGGTGTCGGCCCTTGCGGATACATGTCTCGTTTCCGACGAGTGATAAAGCTATTCCTGCAGTTACCTAACACCCGTATGTCACACCGTACCTCCTCGTATGCCTCACAATACCCCCAGTGGTTACTACACCGTATCCATCCGTTAGTCCGTAGCGTCGTCGGCTCAGTAACTAACTGGTGCTATCGGTAAGCTGTTGGCTGACTTCCGGGACCCTGTCTCTACACATCCACTGCTGGTGGGTTGCACTACATGCAGCTGGTGACCAGCCGGTATTATACCCACCCAACAATCAGCAAGATGGCTACCTAACTTCTCCCAGGTTACACGCCTCCAGCCTGGGCATTACCAGTAACCCAAGTGCTAATCAGCACTTGTGACTTCTTCAACTGTCACACCTCGTCCGTGCATTGTCCAACTCGGCTAGTGGCAATGTGACTACCACTACTTCGCACCTGGCATATTCGCAACTGTTGCGTCGCCTGGCAGCTAGTTAGTTACAGATCAGGCATCTACAAACGGGGAGTATGCACGTTACGGCCTTCTGCTTCCACGTAACCTCTGTAAGTCAGCTATAGTAGAATACTGTTCCAGGAGGTTGCTACAAACTTCCGCAAATCTTCTGCAGCTGGCGGCCTCCGCACGTAGCAGAATGCTCGGTATAGGTTGTTACAAACCCTCGCAGCTCTACTGCGGCTACCGGCTTGAGCACGTAGCAGACTACCATCACACGAGCTACTCTGTCACCTAGCTCTTGTCACGCACCGTCGTACTCAGCTCCTCGGCTATGGCTCATGTCCGCACTCAAACAACACTGCCACCAATGCCTTGTCACCAACTCTAACAACTTAGGCGTTTGTCAGAGCATTCCTGCACGTAGAGCCTGTCATGCGGCTTCCAACGGTCTTGGTGTTCATCAAGCTATTCCTGCACAAGATCTCTTCGCTCGACTCTTGTCACGTGACACCTTCCTCGGTTCTTCCTCGGTTGTGGCTTCTTCCCGTCCTCAACCCCCAGCCTTGCGCCCAGCCTTTTCTCCATACGGAAAACGCTGTTGTCCACTCTTGTTAGCTTAGGCGTCCATCAGGACGCTTCTATGCGTAGATACCGACACGTAGCTTCCAACGGTCTAGGCGATCGCCCAAACACTCCTGCGTAGGAGCTCGTCACTTAGCTCGGTTATGTTTCATGTCCGTCCTCAACAACCTGCTCTGCCGACGATCTTTCTTCATATGGAGCGCGTCGTCACCAGCCCTTGCCCGCTTAGTTGTTCGCCTGAAGTCCCCTGCACGCAGATCACGTCGTCCAACTCTTCACCGTCTAGGTGTACGTCGGGTGGCTTTTTCCACAGTCGAGCACTTCAAACCTCCTTGGGCTGCATAACTCGCCTATCTGCTAGCACGCGGCATCAAACTGTCAAATTCGGCTCTGTCCAGGTGCGTGTCTTCAACCTCTTGCCTTCCCGCACGATCCCCCTTCTGGCTAGTACTATTACCAGTATCTGCATATAGACTGGCTTACATTTCTGTGGAAACCTCACCCGTTTCTAGTCTCGTTACCACACTCCTCCCTCCCCTTTTTTCCGGATCATCGCTCGCAACTAGCTCCCTCGACGCAGCAGATCTCTGCTCCAACCACGCTGAAGACTTCTCGCTTTTCAGTCATTTGCCTCTTCTCCTCACCTTCAATCTCTGGCTTCACTCTTTACCGGCCCACCTGCCTCTTTCCCGCTGCTTTCGTCATTTAGGGAAGTGTGATCCCAGACATTGTTCTACCGTATCAACGAAGCATCCTTCCCTCTGCTGCAATTACCTTATCACATACCCGCTTCTCCTCTTACCTCTCGCCTCCCAACTCTCAGCTCCTCTCGTTGGCCCTAGTACCTCTTTTTACGTAGTTCTCCTTCCACTTGCGTTTGGCTCACTACACCCTCCTCACGTCACTTCCCACTTGCTGCAGATATCACGCACTATCACCGTACTCCGCGCGACTAGTCACTCCAATCTCTGCATTTTACCTTCTCACTCTCGCCTGTTTGCTCGCTCCTTCCTCTCGTACACTCATCTGACGTTATACTTCTTTTACCTTCTTGGCCTCTCTGCGAAACCACGGACCTTGCTCACCATGTCAAGCTACCTTCTCCTAACGAACGTGGAGACTCTGTTCTGTACCCGCTTCTCATCTCGCTCTCATCTCCCTCCCTTCCCTTCTCTTGTTAGCTCTAGTAGCATACTAACTCTCGACGTCGACGTAACCACCACTTCGGGTACGACCGCTCGATTGGTTGTCACGCATTCAAGAATTGAAGTAGCGAGGCCAACGCTATGCGTCCATGTCCCGATGATATGCCATGCAACTTCCACACGGACTAAAACTGCTCAACGCGCACATTCCCCGACGCGTTTCGCCTGGCTGCCCACCAGGCTTCTCAAGGGGCACACCGCTCTCCCGCATCCACTTGACTTTCCACCTGAGCAAGAGGGCCGTTCTGGCCTTGCCCTCTGTTGATATGCCTCCCATGTACGTGGTGGCAGACCTCACCTCAACTGACTGGGATACACCCGTGGCTTGTCGTGGCAGACCAGGTAAGCCCTTGTACACGTCCGCTATTGCTCCCTCACGCGTGCACCTCCCGTGCTATATTTTCTGACTCTGCGTGTACCGGTCGCATATTCGGCTCTAGTACTCCCTGGGCGGGCGCGTGGCAGACTCAGTTGTCTATACAGCTATACTTCTCTCCTGCCTGCCAGGTCGTTACTGTCCGTGCCAGGGCCTTGCGATCCCAGTCTTGGTACCGGGCGCTAATCACCCGGTTTCCCGACTTCTACACACCTCTTCCAGCTATCCCTCGCTGCTTCTCGAGACCCCTATTTCCCATCCCCATACACTGCTCCCTAATATTTCCTTCCTTATTATTGTACACCCGGTTGGTAGCATACGACGCGGGCCATCCTATTCTTTCCACTACCCCACGGTCTGGCATCTACCCTAGCGTCAATCTCTGTGTCTGCTCCCTCACCTTGTACTGACCTGACCCCTCCTCCTTACGGTTACATCACCCGCCGTGTCTCACTTCTTTGTCCCTGGCGTCAAACGTATTTCCCGGCCTTGTTCTGACTATTGTACACCCCGGTCTACCGGGTTTCTAACCCATCTACCCCTGTATGTTCCTCACCATTACCCCACTATCCTCTTTCCTCAGCTTCCTGCTCATTGGCA